CATGGTTCAGCTCTAACAAATTACTTGGAGTTCCCCAAACAACTAGGCTGTGTCATGCCTTTGCATATTCTGACTCTGCTGCTTGAAAGACCTTTCCGCACATTTTCCATTTTGTAAACATGTACCTGTAATATTCTTGGTGAGGGCTTTGTCTCCTCCTCCGCCACCCAGGACTATACACATCTCTCCAGTAGAGCTGCAGTGTGCGGAGTGGTGCTGAGGGACTAGAACTTCCATGAGGGGAGGGACTGTGTCTCCTCATTCTGCGCAAAGCCTCTTCTTCTCAGCCAAATCTTTCCAAGGGCCCACCCAGTTGTTCTGATAGAGCTGGGCTGTCTGCATATCTTAGCAGCAAGGCTCTGGTGTGTTCCCCCAGGATCAGGAGATCAAGAAAGGCTGTAAATCCTACAAAGCACTAAGGTGGTAGTTTTATACTTCTCTTTATATGTAGTCCTTTGTTTAAATATTTTTGTAAGCCTAGGCTATAAAGCCAGTGAAACAGGAGAGGTGATGTGAGGGTGTTCTATCAAAAACCTCAGCTGGGTTCTGTGGGATTCCTTCTAGACACGAGGGACCCTGGGAATGAGTATTGATTGGTAAGGTGTTCTCAGATAGCAGTTCTCAACTTAAAGCCTGTTTGGTGGTGGGGAGATCTAGCTAGGATAACAGTTTGGCCAGTGTAACTAAGGTCAGAGTAACAGTGACTAAAGCAAGAGCCAGGTAGAAGTTAATGTTTCTCTCTCAGGTAATAATTGATCATAAACAGTCCAGGGCTCAATGACAGCTCCTGGGTGTTGGAGACCAAGGCTCCTAATGTTGTACTCCAAAGTAGATGGCTTCCATCTTGAGGACCGGAATGGGATGCACCATTTTCCACCAGCCAAGACTCACTCCAGCTAATGGGGTAGGGTGAAGAGAAACTGGAGGGTAAGCTCATTCCCTGGAAGGGCCCAGCAGAGAAGCTGCATACAGTACTTCTGCTCACATCCCATTGGCCATAACTTAGTCACGTGATAGCCTCCAGCTCCCGGAGAGCCTGGGAAGTAGTCTTTACGTTGGCAGCTATGTGCACTGATAAAACTCAGGGACTCTAATACTAAAGGAAGAAGGGGAGAATGAATATTTGGGGACAACTGACAGATTGTGCCACCAGGACCAGGCCTAACACAGGAGGATATAGTCCAAGTGCCTTGGCCCATCAGTAAATTAATTCACCATTTATTGAGCACAGACTCTGTGCCAGACATTGTGCTCGGCTCTGAGACTAAAAACTAAGTAATACACAGATTCTTCCTTCAGGCCTCTCATTACAGTCTGGAAGGGGCAGACAGATATGTAAACACCTAGGTTGGGGTGCTTGAGGTTCCTGGGGCAGCTGGGGCTGGCTTGGGATAGGGCATGTGTGGGGAGAGATGAACAGTGATTGAAAGATTAATAGGTCCTTATCAAGTAATGGTGGATGGTGTTCCTAGTGTTCCGAGTCATCCCAAAGGCGTGGAAGGAAGAGGTTCACAGGGCCTGCGTGTGGAGAACTGCCTGTGAAACTTCCAGGTCCTGTTTTCCGTGGGGATGGGGCTGAGCGGGGAGAAGGGAACCGTTAGTCCCATGCTCTGCTCCCCACTTGAGTCTCCATTCTTGTCCCCTCACTCACCCACACCCTCTTCTCTGGCCACTTGGTCCAATGTGCTTTCATCTTCACACTTTTCTTATGTTCTGCTGTTCCCTCAGCCTGGTTTGCCTTTCCCTGTACTGTTTGCCAGTCCACATCGAACTCAGCCTGTCAGGTCTAGTTGAGAGGTGTGGCAGGCCAGGCCACAGTATTTCCCTCACTGAGAACTCATTAGCTCTCATCCACAGTCTTGCTATGGTCATGGTGTTATTCCCCTTTCATAAATGCAGGCTGGTGCTTCAAGAGGCTAAGCGATACGCCCCCGATCCCACAGCTAGAAAGGGGTGGCAGGCAGCAGAGGGCCTGATCTGCTGTCCTTTCTGCTTGTTGGCCTGGGGAGTCTGCTTGGGGCAGCCATTTCCAGCTGCAAGGTCAAAGGAGCCCGAAGCAGGGAGGTAATCAGAGTGGGGATGGAAATGAGGGATATGTGGAGATAGGAATCTTCAGCTCAGATGTACAGAGGGGCTTTCTTAGAACTGCCCCCCAAAACACCGAGGCTAAATCCTAGGGCCACAGACACAGTGTGACAAACTGGGATTTATATCTATGACTCTGAATCTCATGTTATTTTATTTTTTGGAAATTTAAAATCTACAAAAAAGAAACTCAATGTATACTAATAGTCTCACCACTCAGAAATAACCACCATTAATGCCCCAAGATATATACTTCCAGTTTTTAAAGAAGAGTCACAGTTTTTCCTAAAAGCAATATAAAATGATTCTGCTCAGTAAAAATAATTCAAACTGCAAAGATGAGAGTGAAAAATTATCCCAAGTCCTATCATTTGGAAATTTTTATTACTTAAGTGATACTCATTCTAGACATCTTTTTAGGGAAACAGACAGAATAAAGATAAACAGGCATACTTTTATAAATGGTGATCACGCTCCCATCTGATATCACAGCCATTAGCCATGGGTAGCTGCTGACCACTTGAAATGTGGCTGTTTCGAATTGAGATGTGTCGTAAGTGCAAAGTACACACTAGATTTGGAAAACTTTTTTTTTTTTTTAAGTCAGCTCTATGCCCAACCTGGGGCTCAAACTCATGACCCTGAGATCAAGTCACATGCTCTACTGATGGAGCCAGCCAGGCGCCCTTAGATTTGGAAAACTTAGTACGAACAGGAATATAAAATATATTGATAATTAAAAAATGTGGATTGCTTGTTCAACTAACAATATTTTGGATATATTGAGTTAAATAAAAGATACTATCAAAATTAATTTCACTTGTTTCTTTTTCCTTTTTTAACATAGCTACTACAACTTTTAAAATAGCGTGTGGCTTGCATCCATATCTGTTGGGCAGCAGCTATTTTATTTTATTTTTTTTAAAGATTTTATTTATTTGGCAGAGAGACAGCGAGAGAGGGAACACACGCAGGGGGAGTGGGAGAGGGTGAAGCAGGCTTCCCGCCGAGCAGGGAGCCCGATGCAGGGCTCGATCCCAGGACTCTGGGATCATGACCTGAGCTGAAGGCAGACACTTAACGACTGAGCCACCCAGGCGCCCCAGGCAGCAGCTATTTTAAAAATAAAGTATTAATAAGTACTGATGGGAAGAAGGAAAGGAAAGTGAATCTAAGCGAATTGTTGAGCTCTAGATAAATGCTTCGCCATGTGGCATTGTTTCCGGAAAGAGTGCAGTAAAGTTTTAAAAAGATTGGTGTCATGTTTTTTTCTTTAAGCATGTATTACCTTGTTTTGAAAGATGGTACTCTGAAGCACTTACCGATTTTGATACATTGTCATTTTTGTACCGTGTTGGTTTATAGCAGTCCAGTTCTGTTCCGTAACTAGTTCTTATAGGCATTTAGTATTCTCTATGTCAATGCTCTGATCCTCGCTGTCGGGCCTTTGCCCATACATCCTTCATCCCTGAACCCTGGATTTCTTTATTAGCTGCATTTCATTCTCAGGAACCGCTCATGCTTCTGGGAGGAGGCTGCTTGCTGCTCTTGCACCTGACCGGTGTTACGGCCGCCTCCAGGCCTCTTGGGTTACGCTCTGTGCCCCTGTGTCTTCTGCAGATATTGTGTCCTTGTCTTCTGCTGTAGGACGCCGCTGTGGCCCTGCATGATGTTCCCTCATCTTGTAGGCTATTTGCTTTTCCTTCCTGGACAACTTAGAGAATGCTTGAGTTCAGTAACTTAACTCAGCCCTGGTTTACTGTGGCTTGGCCCATCCCAGGACCCTAGGTCTCATTTCTAAGAGACTATTTTGGGCGTCCCAGTACACAGATAGAGGCATTGCTGAGAACTTTAGATTTGGCAGATTTGGGTCACTGACCAGGAAGGCTGGGAAGGCTCTCCTTATAGCTCACTGCCTTCAGTGGACCTACCACTCAGAATCTCAGTGGGTGCTCCGTGACTGTTTCTTGACTTAATTTTAGATTACCTAAATAATAAGCCAATCTGTTCTCCTTTCTGGGACTGGAATGTTAAAGATAGAGTCCATTTTGGCCCCTAACTCCAGCTGAGGTCCTCCCTCAACTGTAGCCCAGTGGGATGTACAGTCGTGGATTTGAGGTATATCCTTCCAGACCTTTTACACTGTGCTTATATTTTAATGCAGTTCGGTCCTGTTGCATCACAGAAGAAATAGGTCATGCTCACGCTGGCGTATGAATTGTTCTGGGTTTATTCAGAACATCTAGATGTGCGGATTCCCAAGAGCTACTTCTGGAGTGAGCTCTTCATTCTAATTAACAAGTCAACATGGACAGTAATGGAATTGTAACTCTTAAGTAGTGTAGTCTTAGGAGTAAAACCTTCATCTAGACATTCCTAGCTTGTCAGTGTCTGTATAGCTTCGACTTTTAGGCAGAAACAGACTGCGTGCATTCAGGTCATTTTGACACAAACTCATTTTAAGAATCTGTACGAGACATTGCTCCGGCTCACATCCATGTGTAAGACCACAGAACACAAAAGAGCTAGGAGATTTCACTGCATCAGTTTTGGAAAATACATAGTATTATTTTGTACAGATCATGCCGAAAAATAGCATAAGACAGCTGTGTTTTCCCACTGAACTTGCGCGCTCTCCATGTTAATACATATCTAGTCTTTCTAGATTCAATAAATGTGTGACAAAGGAATGAGCTACCCCTGTCTGTGTACACATTCTGGAACATTCTTATTGATGAACAGAATTCACTGTAAGCTGGTGCCCACTTGGACTCCCTCTAAGGCTATGAAGTTCCAGAAGGGCCTTGCTGGGGGCACAGAGCAGGGGTGTGGTGGTCCTGAGGTCCCCGGGCGGAGCTTCCCAGCACACAGACCATTCCAGGCTCCCATTTAGCTTCTCACTTTGTTCTTTGTAGATGACATGGCAGAGCTCCTCCTCGGGGAGTCAAAGCTGGAGCAGTCCCTGAAGGAACACCCCCTGCGGCAGGGGGCCAGTCCCCGAGGCCCCAGGCCCCAGCTGACCGAGGTCCGCAAGCATCTGACCGCCGCCCTGGACCGCGGGAACCTAAAGGTACTGTGGGTCTCTGAGCTGAGGGGGGCAGTGGGGTGATGCTTGTTCTGCCTCCTCAGGGCAGTGAGCCATGGGGAAGGATGGCCTGCAAGGGACCGGGCAGTGTTCAGAGCACACGAGCACGCTGCCACAGCGTGGCTTCTCAGAAGCAGGCCTGCTCACTGTGTGATCGGCGTGTCGGCCCCCTGTCTGGCTGACCACCTTATGGGGGCTTCCAGCTCACTAGGGCCTCTGGTGAGTCTTCAGTGACCCGTTATTCTGAAAAATCTTCTCCAGGTGCTTGGAAGAGAGCTGTTGTATATGGCCCAGAGCTCAACCTGACACCTTGGCCCACTCTGGGAAAGAGAGGAGTTAATCAGGAGTGCCATTTACCACACCATTCCTGCCTAAAATATGCAGCTCCTCAATGTCCCCAGGCTGCCGTGGCCCAGAACCGTGTGGGGCTCCTCCTGGCGAGCACAAGCCTGGTACTTTGGTGGGGGAGGCAGCCAGGATGGAACTGTCCCTCTGCCTGAGCAATGGCCCTAACCCTTATGGCCCAGGAGACCTTAAGCACTACCCTTCTGCTCTGCTCCTTCCCTGCCCTGTCTTCCCGTCTCTAGACTCAGCTTTCCCTCTCATCACATATTCTTTTCTTGCTTCCTTTGAATCTCCTTTCCTCTCGTTTTTGCTCCCCCTGTGCCTGCTGCCCCCCACACCCATTAGCTCACTTACGGGGCTCTGAGTTCTTCCCCGCCCTGAAGGCTGGTTCTTCCTGCTCTTCGGAGGTCACGCTCCTCCAGGTAGCCGCCTGCACCCAGCCCCAGGCCCGCCAGCGTCTTCAGCTGCCGTCGTCCTGTTGTGCACCCCTCACCGTTGTTATCTCATCTCCAGAACTTTTTTGTCATCCCGGACTGAAACTGTCTATGCATGAGCCTCCGACTCGCCGCTCCCCCTTCTCTGCCCCTGCCCCTGATCTACTCTCTGTCTCTATGATTCTGACTGCTCCAGGTCCCTCATATAAGCGGAATTGTAGAGAATTTGTCTTTTTATGACTGGTTGATTTCATTAACATAAGGTCCTCAAGGTTCATCCATGTTGTAGCATGTGTCAGAATTCCCTTCCTTTTTAAGGCTGAGTAATACTCCATTGTAGGTTTATACAGCGTTTTGTTTATCCATCCGTGAGTGGGCACTGAGATTGCTTCTGCCTTTTGGTACTTTGAATAATGCTGCTATAAGACAGACTTTTTTTTTTTTAAGAGGGTGGGGGGAGAGAGAGAAGGGGAGAGAGAGAGGAAGGGCAGAGGGAGAATCTTAAGCAGGCTCCATGCTCAGTGCAGAGCCTGATGTGGGGCTTGAACTCATAACTCTGAGATCATGACCTGAGCCGAAATCGCGAGTGGACGCTTAACCGACTGAGCCACCCAGGTGCCCCGAATAGTGCTGCTCTGAATATGGGTTTACAATATCTCTTCCAGATCTTGCTTTCAGTTCTTTTGGGCATTTACCCAAAAGTGGAATTGCTGAATCATACGGTAATTCTATGTTTAATTTTTTAAGGAACCTCCATACTATTTTCCGTAGCAGCTGCACCATTTTACATTTTACTTCCTCACCACACTGAGTTCCAATTTCACCACGTCCTTGCCAGCATTTTTTATTTTCTGTTTTTTGGTATTGTTTTGGTTTTGGATAGTAGCCATCCTAATAGTTTTGAGGTGATATCTCATTGTGGTTTTGATTTGCATTTCCCTGATGATCAGGAATGTTGAGCATCTTTTCATGTGCTTATTGGCCATTTGTATGTCTTCTTCAGAGAAATATCTATTCAGGGGCTTTGCCCATTTTTTATTTGGGTTGGGTTTTTTTGCTGTTGTTCGGTTGTAGCTCTTTGCCTTTAAGCTTGATGATTTCTCTTTCCTTTTTCTTCACTTCCCATCTCAGAACACTCCAGGGCTACTTCTCTGGACTTTATTCTCATGTTTATGTACACACCCCCCCCCCCCCACCGAGAAGCCATGTTTTCCTTAGCTTTACTTTTTGTATCCGTTTTGGAAGCTTGTGCCTATTCCCAAATTGTTGTGTGACCCCCACGGAGGCCACCTCCCTCTCTGGGGCTTAGTTTCTGTCAGTTTGAATAGGGTGGGCTGTTGGAGGGGTGAGCTTGGACCCTCCCAGCTCTTAGATATTCCAAGCCTGTGAGCTTTCATTCAGAGATGTCCTTCTTCCTTGTCATCTCGTCACCTCCTTGGCCCTGGAGCAGTTGGGGGCTTGGGCAACATTTGTATAAGTGAGTGTTAGTGTTTGTCAGTTATGTGACTGCAGGCTTCTGGAAATGCGGGCAGAAAGCCTCCTTTCTAAATGGCCTCTGTGTATGTCTGTCTCCACTGGACACAGCTCCAGGCCCCTCAGGCTGGCTTGAGAGCATCAGTTAATTATTTTATTTTTTTAAAGATTTTATTTATTTATTTCAGAGATAGAGTGAGCGGGGGTGGAGGGAGGAGCAGAAGGAGAGGGAGAGGGACAAGCAGACTCCATGCTGAGCACAGAGCCTGATGCAGGGCTCGATCCCATGACCCAAGATCATGACATGAGCCAAAATCAAGAGTCAGACGCTTGACTGACTGAGCCACCCAGGCGCCCCGCGCATCACTTGAATATAGGAAAGTCAGTTTACTAAGCACTTGGTGCTGCATTTGGGCCTTTAAAAACACATATTCTCTCTTTCCCTGTTTCTTTCTTTTTTTTTTTTAGATTTTATTTATTTGAGAGAGAGAGAATGAGAGATAGAGAGCATGAGAGGGAAGAGGGTCAGAGGGAGAAGCAGACTCCCTGCTGAGCAGGGAGCCCGATGTGGGACTCGATCCCGGGACTCCAGGATCATGACCTGAGCCGAAGGCAGTTGCCTAACCATCTGAGCCACCCAGGCGCCCCTTTCCCTGTTTCTTTTAAAGGGCCATGCCACACTTCTCTTCAGAGTCAGTTCATGATACTCGTCGGTCCTCATCAGTGAGAAAGGGTAGAGGGACAGTGGACACGTGGGCCGTGCTTCCCAGGGACGGCCATCAGACGTCCCTTCAAGAGGCCAGAGGGTGTGGCTGTGTGCTAGGGGAGAAAGGTTGAGGATCACGCTCCAGGCCTGACATCTGGCTAGTTTGTTTCCTTCTTCCAGATCCCTAACTTCACTGTGAAAAATTAACCTTCTGGTTTACCAGGTGCTGATGGTTTTTTTGCTCTCCACCCAGTGCCGTAGTAAGAACATGGAATTTCAAGTTAGAATTCCTGAGTTTGTGTTCCAGTCCTAGCTTTATAAGCTGTGTGATTCGGTGAAGTTACGTACCTTCTCTGAGCTTCACATTTCTCATCCATAAGCATAGTTAGCTGGGGGTTGTCTTGAGGCTCAGACGTGGAAGCTCTTTCATAACGAGCACCAGAGACATGTCATTTACTGCAATGTTATTGGTTCTATCTAGAGAGATTTTTCTCCTGTGGCCATTTTTAAGCTTCCTCTACCCTATAAAGAATGTTCCAAAGTCGCCCAGCTTTTGCACGGGTGTGTTGCCCCAATAGCTGGCTACTGTGAAACTTGTTCTCTTCTTGACCTTAAATCAGTACATCTCCTGGTCGGGTACTTGCTCAAGCCCAGTGCAGACAAGGTGCCCACAAAATACGCACGGACTGGAACAGGCAGGACCAGAGCAAGGTAGCAATGTGGTGAGGCAGAAGGAGCCTGGCCTGGGAGTCAGGAGACCTGCTTCTCAGTCAAGTCAAGAAAACCGTGTTTCTCCTGGGCAGGGCAGCACAGCTCTGCTGGGGCCGGTCTCCCCGGCCCTGCAGCGGCGGCCTCCGTGTGGGGTCGCCAACTAGACTCGCTCCGGCAAGGCTCTCCCAGTGCATCCACACTGTGCCTTTGCACTTGGAATTTTGTTCAGCCTCCTGTATCTTTTACATCTGGCCTTGTAGTTTACTTTTCTTTAAAAAAAAAAAAAAAAAAAAAAAAAACTTAAAAATTTTTTTTCAAGTTGAATTAAACATCTTTTTCAAACTTTGCCATCATAACCATCTTAAAGTGTACAGTTCTGTGGCATTGAGTACATCTGCACCATCGTGCAGCCTCCACCACTGTCCATCCCCAGATTGAAGCTCTGGGCCTGGTAAACACCAACCTCTGCTCCCCTCCCCCTTCTGTTTGCTTTTAAACCAGTGGTCCCAGGGCTGGAAGGCCTAAGGGAGGAAGGAAGACAGCCTTGTCCGCCAGGAAGCCTTTTCTCTGGGTGGAGAACCCCTGTGGTGGGACTTTTTTTCATAGCTCTTTTCCTCTTCTCTTAAGTCTGCTTTGATTTCTCTGTTTGCAAAGATAATTCTAATTTCTTGCATTCTAATTTTATTTCTCTCTCTCTGGCCACTCAAAACCCCCTTTTTTTGTTCCTTTCATGGCACCTGGCTGGCTTAGTCAACAGACCATGCCACTCTTAATCTCAGGGTCATGAGTTCAAGCCCCACACTGGGCGTGGAACCTACTTAAAAAATAATAATAAAATTTAATTTAATTTAATTAAAAAAAAACCTTTTTGCTCCCTTCCTTCCCTTTGCTGATTTTACCATCTCTCTAATGCTGCCCGTTGCCCCTGCTTCCTTTCTTTTTTTTAAAAAATTTTTTTTTTTTAAAGATTTTATTTATTCATTTGAGACACAGAGAAAGAGAGAGAGAGCATGAGCAGGGGAGCGCTAGGCAGAGGGAGAGGGAGAAACAGGCTCCCCACTGAGCTGGGAGCATGATGTGGGGCTTGATCCCAGGACCCCGGGATTAAGACCTGAGCCGAAGGCAGACGCTTAACCATCTGAGCCACCCAGGTGCCCCAACCCCTGCTTCCTTTCAAAAAATACTTTATGATTTCACTTATATGTGGAATCTAAAAAAAGAAAACAACAAATGAATAAACAGACAAACAAAAAGCAGAAACAGACCCATAAATACAGAGAACAAAGTGATGGTTGCCAGAGGGGCGGGGGGTTGGGGGGTGGACACAATAGATGAAGGGGAGCAGGAGACACAGTTATGGACTGAATGAGTCCCAGGAATAAAAGGCACAGCATAGGGAATGGAGTCAGTGATCTGTAACAGCACGGTATGGTGACAGGTGGCGGCTACACTTACGGTGAGCACAGCAGAGCTTAGGGAGTTGTCCAGTCACTATGTCGTACACCTGAAAAGTGTGTGACATTGTGTGTCAACTATACTCAAAAAAAGAAAAAAAAAAAAAAGAAAGAAAGAAATGCCCGGAAGCTGGCAATCCTGGCGGACAGCTGCTTTGCCATGCTCTGGCTGGTTACCTGGCATTGGCCACCCCGTCACGGTTACAGGGTACAGAACGGTGCAGCTTCCTGGCATGCTCCTGTAAGCAGGAAAATCTAGCCTTGCATAGCCTGGGTTCCAAGGAGCAGGCCTGCGAGAGGATGATAAATCTGTCTCCTTATATAGCAGGCTAGGCTGTCTCCTCTCTTCCTGCTGATGAGTGCTGGCCAGGGGGAAGGGCAGAGGTTGAGGCCGGTGGGGATGGACTGGGGAGGCCAACCTCTCCTGCCTGGAGAGGAATGAGGGCCCATCAGAGGATGAGGGCTAGAGCTTGCAGCCTCTGTGGGGGTTGGGGAGGACCAGGGCTCAGTCACCTTACTGAGCGAGAATGGCTCAGTGGGAAAAGTTCGCCCCTGGAAAGAAAGCAAGTCCTGGGTTTTGCACCAATTTAGAAAACCTCTCTCTTTGGGTTATTTGGGTTATAGTCTTGTAGCACACCCCCAGTGCAGCGGGCAGGATGCACCAGGATGTCCTTTTTTGAGACAGGTGCTTGTATGTTTTGTTCATAAAGCATCCCTTCGTCCTTGGCGCAGCACAGCCAAGCACGGGGACCTGTGGGGAGCCTCAGTGTTCGGTTTCATTTTGTTTTACAGCCACTTTCTTGAAGTGGAGTTCATATGCCATATAACTCACCCATTTAGAATGTACAGTTCAGTGGTTTTTAGTATATTTACAGACTCGTGCAGTCATTACCCCATTTTAGAAAATTTTCATCGCCCCCAAAATAAACCCGTACCCATTAGCAGTCACCTGCCATCCCCCCACCCTCCAGCACTAGGCAGACACACTAATCTACTTTCTGCCTCTATAGATTTGACCACTCGGGCCATTTCATATAAGTGGAAGCATGCAACATGTAGCCTCTTGTGATTGGCTTTTTCACCTGCCATGGTGTTTCTGAGGGTCATCCCTGTGGTAAGCATGGGGCACTGCTTCCTTCCTCACCGTGGCTGGGTAATATTCCACTGTGGGGCCGTACCACGTTTTCTTTATCCGTTCCTCAGTCATTGGGCATTCAGGTTGTTGGCAGTCGCAGGGCCATGGCAAACGATACTGCTGTGAACATTCGTGTGCGCATCTTTGTGTGGAGAGCCCCGAGGCTTTGTGGCAGCAGGTGTCGGGTCCCCGAGGGAGCATTACTCCTAGCATCGTAGGAAAATGTTTTTCTCTCTCCTTTTCCTTCTAGTCAGAGTTCCTACAAGAATCCAATCTGATCATGGCCAAGTTGAATTATGTGGAAGGAGATTATAAGGAGGCTCTCAACATCTATGCCCGGGTGGGCCTCGATGACCTGCCGCTGACAGCCGTCCCTCCCTACAGGCTGCGCATGATTGCGGAAGCCTACGCCACCAAAGGTGAGCCCGCGCCTTCCCTCCCGGGAGGCTGTCCCCCGGGGCCACGCTGCGTGGAGCCCACAGGCCAAGCCTGTACCCTGGGTCAGCACCTCCACTTGGTGTGGGCCCCGCCACACCCTGTTCCCTCAGACCCTCAGTTCTTCAGTTACCCCTGAAATAAATGAGGGGCAAATATTTTAGTAAAGGGTCCTGATAATTAATATGCAATGAAATAGGAATTTTTTTTTTTTTTTTTTTGGTAATTAAGATAATGCACAGCACACGCCAGGATTCTTGTCATATGGCCACTTGGCCACATGGCTGACCAGTTTTATTCATTATTGCCCCCTCTGGGCTAATTTAATTAAGGCTGATTGGTCCCTGCAAATGGCTGTAACAGCCAGTCATCCAGTGTTTAGCTGTGTGCGTGGGGGCTCCGGGGCTGGAAGGAAGTGTAAACGTCAGCCCGGTTGCCAAGAAGGAGCTTGCAATCCCATGTGAGAGGATGCAGTCCCACGGAGAGGAAAATGACAGACGCAGGACACACACATTGTTTGACCTTTCCAAGCTGCCACTTCCTCATCTGTGAAATGGGTATAACCACATTCACTTCATAGATTTAGTCTAAGGATCAGTCAAATCATGTGTGTAAAGCACTGACCACAGTACCTGGCGCATACTAAATGCTCATCAAATAATATTTTAAAATATCAGCCCCAAACAAGGCAGCAGATGGTAAAAGTCAGGCATGGCTAACAGCTTTTTAGAGATAAGAGAGGTCACACAGGCCCACAGGGCCAGGAAGGCTTCCTGGAGGAGGAGGAACACTTTGAATTGGAAAGGCCATCATAAGAGAGGGAGCGTCTGAAGCAGCTCCTCTCCCTCCTGCCACCTACTGTCCAAAGCATGCATTGTGACTGACTGTGGCCAGCACGGAGCCGGGGCCCTGGTCACTCGTGTGCTGTCAGCTGTCAGACTCGGTTGTCCTGCGCAACGGTGAACAAAGACCCAGCCTGAGGCACACTTAAGAGCTTTGTTTCAGGGGTGACATATTCAACCTGTTCCCTGGGGAACCTCAAATACTGCCAGGTTCATCTAATTAATCTTCGAAACCTCCCTGCGGGCCGGGGAAGGATGCTGTCACTCTTGGCCGGGCACTCTGGCACTTTGGCTGGCACCGTCCTGTGAGGCTGGGGGCGCCACAGGGCGTGCTGGGGTGTGTGCCACGCAGCTGCCCCCTTCTTCGTGGTGCCTGCTCCATCACCTCACATGCCTTGGGCTTGGGGGAGTTTGTGTGTGATTTGGGGCCAGAAACGATCGCCTGCAAGGGGAGCAACGCTTCACCGGGCAGTTGCCGGTCACCTGGGGCCCAGTGGGTTGTCTCCAGGGGTTTTGCTAGTTGCAGATGGGGGATGGCTCTGGGGCCTGCTTCGCAGCAAGAGCTCAGGTCCTCGTATCAGCTCTAAGACAGACTGGTGGTGGCAGCCATCTGCAGGGGGCACTGCCCGCTCAGCCTTGTGGCTGAAGGAGGACAGGAGAGGGCAAGGAGGACGGGAGACGTGGTCCCTGGGTCTGGGCCTGCGTCATACGTGGTTAGCAGTGTGCCCCCAGCTGTGGTGGGAGGCTCCTGGGAGACCTGGCCCTGGCCGGCTCCTGTGGGCACACATAGTGTCACACGCGTGCAGGAGACGCAAGTGTTGCTTGTGCCAGAGGAGGTGGCCTGCAGCCCAGGTGGCCCTGGCCCTGAGAGCCGGCGCCGGCCAGGTGAGAGGCAGTGCAGAGGGGGGATTCTGAACACCAGTGCTTAGCCGTCCGCCTGGTCCGGCTCCCACCACCATCACGTACTGGCTCTGCACGCCTCGGTTTCTCCATCTGTCCAGCTCTCCTTGGGTTGTCATGAGGATTACACGAGATCATCTGTATCAAATGCCCAGCACATAGTGAACATGATCTAAATAGTAGCATAACAGCTGAGTGTTTGTTGGGGCACTACAAGAAGTGACTTACAGTAACTGAAAAATTGTCCCTTTAATTTGTGGAGATGCCCAAAGACAGGACAGTTCTCTGAGGAGTTCAAGAGGCTCTTGGTCCCAACTCTGGGTAGCAGCACTCTTTGGTTCTTCTTTCTTCTTCAAGGTCCTTGAGAAGTTTTCAGGAGAGACTGTGGACAAATATTAGACGAATGCTAGCATACGGGGTTCTCTTCTCTCCGTTGTGAACCACGAGCCTGCAGGGGCCTGAAGCAGGGTTGGTGTCCTCAGCTCAGCGTTTCCAGCACTTTTGAAGTAGTTGCTGACGTTTCCAAATTGAGACCATCCAGTTAAAAATTTGGCTTTCTGGCTTCTTCGGGAAGAAGGGAAGGGCTGTCCCCTCAGGCCCCCCGGGCAAGCCCTGGCTGGAGCTGAGCGCCCAGCGCTCACCTCTCCCCTGACCACCGCGTGCTGCTGTAGGCTCGGAGTTCGCCTTTTATGGGTCACCTGAACTTTTCCACGATCTCCAGAGGTCTGATTGGACCAGGGCTTTCCGCCAGAGCCTGAAAGTATCACTCCCACATCTGCTCTTCCAGCCATGGCTGCGAGCTCTTCCCCTGGCCAGGTAATGTTAGCCTTGGCTTATTGGGAATCTGCAGCCAACATCATTCAGGTACCACTTAGGGCTCTACTGTCTCTTAAATCCTCCAAACCTGTAATTTATAGACAAAGGAGATGAGACTGGGCAAGGTGACTGGAATGCCCACTGTGTGCCCTTTATTTGGGTATCTCAGCCAGTCTTTATCACCACCCTGTGAGGTGGGCTCTATTACTCTTTCCATTTTACAGATGAGAAAACTGAGGCACAGGGGGGTTAGATAAGCTGCCCAAGGTCCCGAAGCCAGGAAGTGGACGAGCCAGGACTCGAGCCAGAGCCCATGCTCTCCTAGTGAGAGGCAGAAGGGGCCTCAGTCTGGAGCCCATGTTCTTAACCATTCTGCTCTGTTGGCATGTGGATCAGAGCATGCTTGGGCCAGGTAAGGTTTCCTCATGTAGAAAACACTCAGATCACTAGAGGATACCCTTGATTTGCACATAGACACCTCTTGGCAGCCTCACCTTCATTGTTCCTCCACCGTAATTCCTGCTCCTTGCCCAGATTTCTTCCTGTAAATTCTGTTCCTCCAGCTCATACTTCCTGTCTTCTCTGATGGCCTCTGGGACTTACCTGTTCAGAGTCAACCATATTCACTGCTGTCTTTGCTCAGTACATTAGTAGGTGACGTGAAAGTCATACTAGAATCAGTTGTCCTGGTATCAGACGCCTCTCCAGGTCTGTGAGTTCCTCTAAAGGAGGAGCTGTTTGTTTTGTTTGTTTGCCATCCTCAGAAATCGGCACAGGATTTGGCACGTAACTGGTGCTCAGTTATTGAGTGAAATTTGTACAAGTTCCCTTGCTTGCATTTTTACTGAGATGCCCATCATGTCATTCAAGTGATCTGGGTGCCTTCACTCCTAGCCTAGCATGGTGAGATGCGTTTTCTTTGTAGATGACATACTGGGCATATTTCAATGAATCAGAGTCCTTCCCTGCCGATTATGGGCAATACCTCCGAGAGTATGCTGACGTCACACCATAACAGAGCCTGACATGGATCTCTTTTTGAAAGGTTGTACATTTCCATTCATTTCCATGATCAGGGACTTCTGACGTAGATCTCACCTCCCCCCACTATCCCCCCAACTCCTTCCTTCCTTCTATCTCGTAAACCTAAGCAGACAGAGAGTGGGAATCGAGGAAATGGAGAAACTCTAGCTTCTGGTAGTACTGGTTTAATCAAGCGAGTAGACATCTTTGCTCTGGGATACAGATTGATGTAGCAAATGAAATCTCCAGGACACCAAGTGGCCACAGATGTTCTTTTCACAAATGGAAAGGCTGGGGAATAGCGGACACATGGCCACTGTCTATTTTGGGACTTAGATGTGCTGGACACGGGGTGACTTTCTGCAGATCGGCCAGTGGGAGCTGGAAGTGGCTTGCCTTCCCAGATACAGCCTCTGTAAACAGCCTTGGTATGTACCCTGTTGTCTCACAGGGACTGAAAATGCCCGGGTTCCAAGATGAGGGAGTTCTGGAACAGTCCGCCTGGTCACAGCTGATGGGGCAGCCGTGTTCTCGGAGGTTCCTGTTCCTCCCCATCCACTAGGGTGTTGTCCTCATCTGTGTGATTGAAGCTGCTGTGGTGGCGTGATGCAGCTTGTGGAAGGGGGCAAAGAGGGAGATGTCTAGGGTGAGCAGAAGTAGCACGGGTCGGTTCTGCTGACAGCCCGCTGGGGAGAGGTTGCTATAGCACCTTAGCCACCAGGGACCTGGGAAAAAGAAGACTGGGGGCTCACGTAAGCCTCTGATTTGACATGTCCAGCAGAGCTTGGTCTCTCACCCAGCTAGCACCTGTAGGAGGGGCAGGGAGAAGGAAGTAGCCTGCACCCAGGCTAATGAAAGGGGACGTGGAGGCCCTGAGGCTCTGGTGCCCAAGAGGAGGGAAATTATGAACCTGGAAACAGTGGCGTGGTATTAAGCTTCCTTTCTAGATTGCACGGTACCAAGCCGAGAAGGACCGATGGCAGAGGGCCAGCGGGGCCTTCCCAATCATCCCTCGTACAAACATTTTCTTTTTCCACTGGGGGAGACTGCCAGAGAGGCTAAGGGACTTGCCTGATGACGCCCAGTAAGCTGGAGGCAGGGCCAGGATGAGGTAGGAAACCTTCCTGTCAAACTGCATGACCTCCGTTCCCAGGTGGAGAAGGCAGCACGGTGATGGGGAGCTCTATGGAGCCTCCCATTTTCTCTTTCCTCCTTTGCTCCCAGGTTTGAAATTGCTCTTTTGATGTGCTGGTTAAGAGCCTGGGGTTTTGGAGCCAGCCTGCCCAGGTTTGATCTCTAGCTTTGTCACTTATTAGCTATAAGACCTTGGGCAAGTTCCTTTCGTCTCCCTGGGGCTCAGGCTTTTTTATCTATAAAACAGAGGTAATTATAGTATCTACATT